TCGCACTCTTGCGGCGACTCACGGCGTTGGTCGTTCTGTGTTTCGTCCTTCGACTCCTTTTCCTGATGCTCCGGACGCCGCGACCCGGGACCCCTCGCTCCGTCAGCACTCGCACGCGCCGATCGCCGAGAGGACTCAGAACACTTTGAAGTGTTCCGAGTCCGCGAGTCTGTTCCATGAGTCCCATCGGTTTGCGGCGTTTCCCTCGCGGAGCAGTTTTCCTTTTCCCTTGCCGCCTTTTTTTGCTGGGCTCTTCTCATTTCCTTACGCTCCCTTTGGGCCTGGCGCTCTTGACGCCTGCACTCCTCCTCCCGGGCTTTTGCGGCATGTTATGAAGCCGCGAAAGAGGGACGGGCCGCTTCCGCCGCTTCATGTCTTTCCCGCTCCCGCATGTCTTCGTTGTTGACGAATACCTCCTGCGGTGAAGGATTGCGTGAGAAACGTACTGTCCACGGTATTAATGCGTCGTAGAAAACCGACGGAACGCCGGTCATTGCTGCATATCGAGCCGCATATTCAGCGTGCTCCAATGCCCTTGAAACAACCTGCATGTAGCGCGCTGGCGAAGGTTGCTCAATGTGGCGGACGCGGTTGGGATGCACAAGTAGGGCGAGGCATCGGTAGTTGCGCTGTCTAGAGCGGAAAGTGTGGTCGCCGTCTGGCATGCAGAATATGTCAAGAATGGGGGTCACGTCGCATTCAACTGCGCCGATGTGTCGAATGGCCTGACGGGTGTCTGATGGCATCTTTCGGCGATCCATGACATTATTTTTCAAGGAATGCCGCTGGTTAGGGCGGGTAGTGCTTCGCCTCGAAATGATATCTAGAAAGAAGGGGAGACGGGAGGCGACGGGAGGCGAGTTCAACAAATGCAGTGGCGAGATAAGCGCAGCGGGAAATAGGAGGGCGAATTTATGTGCTTTTGGGGCGACTTTGCCCACGAAGTTTTTAGAGGGGGCGATTTGGGAATCGTGTGGTCATTTTGGGGTGCGACAAAAAATAGTCCTCTGATGACGAAAATTTGCGCGCTGTCGCCCCCCTGATGACACATCCTCCCTTTTTTGTAAGGTACGGGGCTCTGCTAATGGGACTCCCCCAACATTTATTTATTACAAGTGTACAAGTGTACGGCGCCTGATGAAACTGATAAGGCTGAACACGTGTCGTGGACACTTTTCGCAGTACTTAGATTCTTTGGGATGCACGCATCGCGAGTCCTAGACGTTTCCGCGGAAAGAAAAAGGAAACAAAAAGAAAGGTTTCTATTGCAATTCCTGAAAAATATTGAATACATTACAGTATTGGGGTGCGACTACACAGTATAAACCTTTCGGGCGGGTTGGCGCCAAGACTTCGGTTCAACTTATGACCTGAACAGTACGCCACCCTGTGCTGTCACCATGGCCTGCGTATCATCACTCTTCTCAATCGCGCGCAAGTACAATTCCGTAGCGCGAACTGCATTCGCCTCGACTCCCTCCGCACCATCTACCTGCAGATTGGCGAGAAGCACCATGGCACCAACATCGTCGTGTTCCTCAATCGCATCCTCAAACAGTTTCACAGCGTGCGGTGCGTCCCGCACAACAACGTCTCTTCCATCCCTTACTAAGATTGCTAGGTCAAACATAGCGTCGCCATCATGAGCCTTCTCAATGGCGTTCTCGAACAACTCGGCAGCGCGAGCTGAATTTGCCTCGACCCCATCTGGGCCTTCCGTTAGCCTTTTGCCGAGGTTGACCATTGCGCCGCTTTGACCGTGCCCCCCTCAAAAGCTACCCTCCACCCTTCAAAGGTAGCTCGTACCTATCATCAGTTTACCAATAGAAGCCCCGGAGAGCATGAAACAGGACGAGAAGGCGGCCTCCGAGCAGAGCAGCGTCGCCAGTCGTCAGAATGCCAACAACGGCAACACCCTGTTCAGGCTGGGCAACCTAGCGAGGGACGGACGGGATGGAGTAGAAAAGGATGTGGCAGGCGGTGTGAAGCTGTACGAGGCCGCGGTCTTCCGTTGATTCCCTCGCAAGACGTACATGTACGCCCCTTGCTATTCTCGGTGTGCTTTTCACCCAACACGCGCTCTTATTCCCTGCCACATCTCTCAACCGACACCTTTCCTTTCTCCGGTTTCCCGACGCCTTTCTCTCCTCGCAAACCTATTCGCGCTCTCACAAAGGCCTCTTTTCGGCACCCCCGGCAACCTCGGAAACACCCATGGCGTTGCCATCACCTTTCTTACCGTAAGAAGAAAGAAGTGTATTATGGC